GCTCAGTCTCCAGCTTGTTATATAATTCAGCATTCATTTACTTGTCTCAGATCTTTGCTGTAGTCATCCCTATTTCTGTGCTTCACTTGTCTAGCTTAGCCCCATGAACACCTTCTTTTGTGCTAATCCAAATCCAATGTATTCATCTTAAGGTTATGCTAGATTCTACTTTGCCTTTGCAAGCATGGAAGCATTAAAACCTTTGTCAAAGGTGCTAAAAATATACGATGGAGGAAATAGCAGCCTCTTCACAAAAAACTGCTGGGAAAACTGTTAGAGTCTGCAAAAAATGAACTAGATCCATTTATATACCTATACCAATTTAACTCAAAATGGATCAAGGATCTTAATATAGACTACAACTCTAAGTTGATACAGGAAAAGAGTAGGAAATACTCTGGAATTAGTAGGTTAGGAAGAACTTTCTCATGAAAGCCAGCATAGATAAATGGGACCTCATAAAACTAAAAGCTTCTGTTTATCAAAGAAATGGTCACTAAACTGAAGAGAACACCCAAGAGTGGGAGAAAATATTTGCCAGCTACACATAGCAAAGGCATGATAACCAGAATATATAGGGAACTTAAAAAACTAATTCTCCCAAATAATGAACATAAGAAATGGGCAGGTGAACTAAACAGAATTTCTCAAAAGAAGAAATTCAAATGGCCAAAAAACACTGAAAAAATGCTCACATCTCTAGCAATAAAGGAAATGCAAATTAAAACACACCAAGACTCACCTCTTTAGAATAGCATCATCAGCAACAACCAACAACAGGTGTTGGCGAGGTTGGGGGGGAAGGCCTCTTACACTGTTTGGTGGGAATGTGAACTAGTAAACACTCTGGAAAAAACATTTGGAGGCTACCTAAAAAGCTAAACATTGATCTACATTTGATCCAGCAATACACTCTTGGGGATATACCCAAAATTTGACACAGGTTACTCAGAGGCACCTGCACACGCATGTTTATTGCAGCACTATTCACAATGCCAATTATGGAAACAGCCAGATGCCCACTACTGACAATGGATTAAGAAAATGTGGTATTATACACAATGGAATCTATGCAGCCATGAAGAAGAACAAATGTTATCATTTGCTGGTAATGGATGGAATTGGAGAACATCATTCTGAGTGAGGTTAGCTGGCCAAAAGACAAAAATTCGTATGTTTCCTCATATGTGGACATTAGATCAGGGCAACCACAAGGGGATTGGACTTTGAGACTGATAAAAGCGAGAGCACACAAGGAGGTGGGAGGATAGGTAAGACACTAAAAATTACACTAGCATTTGTTGCCCTTAAGCGAGAGAACTAAAGCAGATACCTAAAGCAACTGAGGCCCAATAGGAAGGGGACAGGAATAGAGAAAAGGTAGATAAAAAGAATAACCTAGAAGGTAACACACATCACAGGAAATTAATGTGAGTCAATCCTGTATAGCTATCCTTATCTCAACAGCAAAAACCCTTGTTCTTCCTATTATTGCTTATACTCTCTCTTCAACAAAATTAGAATATAAGGCAAAATGTTCTGCGGGTATCGAGGGGGTGGGAGGGGGAGGGAGAGGGAGGGGGCGGAGTGGGTGGTAAGGGAGGGGGTGGGGGCAGGGTGGAGAACTGACCCAAGCATTGTATGCACATATGAATAATAAAACAATTAAAAAAAAACCTTTGTCAAGAATGGAACAGCATTAAAACCTTTGTCTAAAACTGTATTAGACTTTTAGTCTTTTTGTCAAAATGGTACTTCCTACCATCATCATTATCTCAAAATCTGGTTCCATTCATACAATTCTCTGAAAGCATGAACACAAGATTTTATTCACTGACAGCCTTGCAAAGTGCCAGGCATTCATAAGTTGCTTAACGAATTTGTTTAATGGCTGCATGCTAACAATGTTATTCAAAGAAGTAATGATAGTTGTATCATGTCATCAATACTGCCTCTTTGAGTGAAAGGAGACTTTTTAATGGATTTCCTGAAAGCCACTTATAAGAAACTAATGACACTGGTTAAGAAAGGATAGAAGATCTAAGCACATGCTGGGTTCAAATCCTGGTCATCTCACTTACCGGCTATGTGACTTTTGGAAAGTTGTATAATATCTTTGTGCCTTAGTGTCTTTTCCTTGAAAATAAGAGAAAATAAGAGTACCTGCTTCAAGGAATCATTATGAAATCAAATGAGTTATGTCATATAATTAAAGAAATTTCTGCCATGTAGAAATTGCTCTGTGAATGTCAGCTATTACTAAATGTTCCTGGCATATAGAATAGTAACTCAGAGCTAAAACAACACTTAGTTTAAGAGTGAAGAGCTAGCAATCCCAAGTCAAAACACCACTCTCATGACTTATTCAGTATTTGTTTTTCCTGCCTAAAGACTAATTGCAGAATCTTAGAGTTGTAAGGGACCTCAAGAGTGCTCAGTTAACTTTTCCATAAGGGATCACACTGAATGATCACTTTCAAACTTTCATCTTGCCAACAGCTCATTTCAATATTCTATTTTATATGTTCAGATTATTCCCAGAAAAAAGATACTAACAGAACCTACACTATGGTGCTCAAGTTAAGAAACACATGAGAGACGGGAATGGATGTCAAGGTCAGGTCCCTTAAGCTCATATGATCATCACTAGAGGAAGCAATTTTAATGCCTATCATTTGAAAAATAAAATTTCTTTTTTCGGAAAAATTGTCCGGAAGATTCATTATAAAGCTATGATTCAGGCCATCCCACATGTACATGAATGTTTTGCAGATAGTATCCTTCCTGGTAAGAATGTGAAATTATGATTTTGATGAACTCAGAACAATACTCTTTAGCAGCCAGGAAAAGGCAGAGGATCCAAGTACCCATACCAGCCACAATTTCTGGGGGTTTCAGCTTTCTATGTCGTTCTCTGGAACAGTATTCAGGTTGGTTGTGCAATCAGCTATGCCAGGGTTTTAAAATTCAATCTAGCAGATACAGACTCTCAAGAGGAATTATGGCAATAAAAGATTGCTATTAACTAGGCACATTTAAACTTGTGTTTGCAGATTCTCTCACCAGATGCAATGAAATGCTATTTTCTGTCTCAATTCAACACTAAGGGAAGATATTTCATTTCTCTTTAATGCAAATAAAAGCATCATATGTAACAGCGGCCATAAGGGAGAAGGCCAAACTGAATAATTGTGTGTCCACAAAGAATGTTCATCCACACATTACACACCCCCCCCCAACCACACATACACTACAGACAAGATTCAGGGTATCCACACTCTCTGAGTATGATTATTGTAAATGGCTGATTGCAGTATGTAAACTCTGAGCTTTATGACTTTGGATTTTAATTCTCAAAACAGGGAGTTACCATTACTTGAATCTGAAAGTTGAATTACCTTCTTTATACTAAGGACTGAACAGACAGCCTCCATTGCCCCTACACAGGATGCATTGTCTCCTTTTGTGTTTCTGTAGTTTTTTGTTCACTGCTCTAAATTTACTCATGACAATCTGACTTGTTATACCTAGCTGTGTATGTGTCTCCTTTGAAGGCTAAAAATTCTTGAGGGCAGAATTATTATGCATTATCCAAGAGCCTTACAGCATCTTGGACAGAGTAGCTACTTGATAAATTGGTTGTCTTTAGTTTTAACTGTACATGTGCTAAACATTTCCCATATATAAAGTATTACTAATGGATTTTTGTCTTTGATGTATCTTTTCCTTCCCTTTCTGAGAACTTGTTTTTGAAAGATAAAAATAGTTCAGTGGTTTGACACTGTAATTTAGATGAATATAAACAAAAAGGGGGTATCTAGCAAATATTAGCTAAGTAGTATTTTTATGAAAAACTGCAGAAGTTTCTTTTGAGGTTTCAGTTGTTGTGACCCAACCATCTTAAGAGGGAAAAGGAAAGGACAGAATTTAGAGGCATAATGGAAGGATATTACAGAAAGACTACTACCAAAAAAAGACCCAGCACCCAAGTCCTAACTCTGGAAGCCAGTAAATTTGTCTGGATTATGGCATTTTCAGGTTCTATGTTTCCTCTTTAATGGGTTTTCTGAGAAATTTTCAGGTTCAATGTTCAAGAAATATTTAGTTCATGCCCATTAGACCCACAGACAGGACTAGATACATGATTTGTAGGGCTTAGACCAAAATAAAAATGCAGGGCCACTTGTGCAAAAAGTAAGATTTCAAGACAGCAAGAAACAGAGTATTAGCTAAATAAGGAACCCTTTGAAACACAGAGCCTTGTGTGTACCTTGGTTCCATACCTATGTACCTATGAAACCAGCCCTGTTCTATCCTCAGAGATTTTGTATAGGGGAAGGCAAAAAAAAAAAAAAGGTCCATATCTAAGCATTTAAGCAAAATTCAATTACATTCAATGATCTGAGGACTAGAAGAAGGTCCTACTTTCTAAGTCATCCAAAGGAGAAAGCTAAATCCATTTTGAGAGAGCAATTTAACAAAGAAAGCTATTCTGGATTGAACAAGCAGCACTGAAAGTAAGCAGAGTTCACCAGTTACATTTCAGCAATAGGGTTACTTTTAAGGAGGTTGAAACAAGTTACATAAGGATGACAACTATGAGACTGGAAAGGCAGCCAGAAACCAACATACGCGGAAAGGATTCAACCAAATTCAGTGCCTATTGTGTGACAAGTTCCTTCTCTCTATGTCATCATTTCAAACAAAACAATGTCGTAAATAAACTCCATTCTTTTACAGAGGTTAATGTAGGCCTAGTAGTAGAGTGTGTTCCTAGCAGAGACATCAATAAATATTTGAGGAATGACTGACAGGTCTGCCTGACCTACGGCCCAGGAGCTTAACCCCTTGGACAAGTTGCTAAGCGTACTTTGAAATCCTCCTGTGAGTCTTTCAAATCTCTCCAGAACCAAATTTCCTTCCTGCTTCACGTCCCGCCCGCGATTCCACGTGCCGGAAAGTGGGCGACAAAGTACTTCCGGGTAGCAGAGGTCGGGCGGACAAGATGGCGGCCCCCTTGGAGCTCAGTTGCTGGGGAGGTGGTTGGGGGCTCCCATCGGTGCACAGCGAATCCCTAGTGGTGATGGTGAGGCCGCCGTGAGGGCCAGGGCGCGGGAAAGGGGCGGGGCCCGATACCAGAAGCCCGTTTGTCGCATTTCCCCGCGGCGCTACGGGATGATGGCGGGCCGCTCGGCGCCTGCCTTGAGCCCACTTCTGTGGACAAGTCACAGCCTGGCCTGTGACCCACCGTGGCGGGGAAGCGTCGTGGCTCGCCGCTGGCTCTGCGTCTTCTCAGCTTTCAAAGCGGTGTGGGCGGTGGGGGGAGGGGGAGGGGGAGGGAGGGGAAGCCCGCCTGGCTCGTCACCCTCAGCACCTTTGCGGGGGACATGGTCCCCGAAAGCCCGAGAGCCGGCGCGCGCGCCTGGGACTGAGATCAGAGGAGGGAGCGGGCCTTGGTGTCTGCCATTTCTGTCCTTGGGGATGGGACTGTGAAGGAAAGTTGCTCTGCACATTTGCATTACGTACCCAGTCTAAAATGTTTATTTCACACTGTTTCAGGCTTATGCCAAATTTTCTGGTGCACCCTTGAAAGTCACTGTGATAGACAGCACCTGGAGAGGCTCAAGAGGTACAGTGTAAACTTTTACACACCCCTTTGCCCTTTTAAAGGTCTTCTCCCTGCCCTCCCCGCCTCCCTCTTCCATTTAAAGTTGTGAGGTGTATAGCTCTAGAGTACCTTAGGGTGTTAGTTTCTTCTTACCACGACCTTGGCTTTGTGTTGCTTATGGTTTGATCATTCTGAGTAATAACTCAAAGTGCAAGCCAAAGCAGTGGAAATTATGAGAAATGAAAATGTTCTCTAGAACTGCTGTTTGTGAAGTTGCAAAAAAAACCCTGAGACATTATTACTCATTTTTTTTTCTCCCTCCAAATGTGCAATTGGTAGTTTTTAGGGTATTGGAATCTTCAGAGGAAATCACAATGTTTCCTTGCATGTAAATCATTTTTTGATTATAGGTGATGTACCAATTTTGACAACTGAAGACAACATTGTTTCTCAGCCTGCAAAAATACTAAACTTTTTAAGAAAACAGGTGGGTGGTTTCTTTTGAAGAAGATGATTATCAATTCTTGTGTGTTTACTTTTTAAAAGAAGAAAAATACATTGCAAAGTGAGATGTTATTGTTTTTAGAATTTTTTTTTTTTTTTTGGCAATTCATTAGGCAGCTGCAGATATCTCGGGTTCAATTTAAAAAAAAAATCTTTAGAATCACTGCCTATAAAAGCGTGAGTTTTACTGTGATTTGAAAGTCATGGTGTGGTATAGTCAATGGATCTTTTCATGCACTTTGCTTGCATTTTATTGAAATTTACACATAAGGAGATTCAATTTAGCTATTCACTATTACACTTGCTGATAGCATTGCTAGTTTAGTGACATAGTTGCTACACATTTTGTGCTTGGTGTAACATCTGAGTTCCCACCAAATAGCAACATTTTTTTTTTTTTAAAGTATGTATCTGGTGGTAGCAGTTAAATATTTTATGAAACAATGTATCCAAAATGTTTGAACATGCAAAGTGTAATGTATCCAAAATATTTAAACTTGTAAAGATTTATGTAAGTGCAAGAGTTGTAATTGGTTTTATCACTACTTTAAGAAAAAATCCCATGCATTAAAATCAAGGCTTTTCCAGATTAGAAGGTTTTTATTTTTCATGGAGAAAAATGCAACCAATTGAATTTTTTTTCCTTCTGGTTAAAAATAGTGATGACTTTTATTTGTTGACTTTATACTATATGCCATGTTCTGAGCTAGGTCATAAACAAACACTGAAATAATAGAAGTTAATTTTTTAAAAATCGTTAACTTCCATTTATTTACTGTGTGTATGATGCAATACCTTATATGCAGTAAGCAACAGTTTTCACTGGGTTTGTATTTCCTTTCCCCTTTTTGATATCATGTTTGCTATTTGTGAGGAAGACCAGGAATCCTAATGTATTTAGCTTTATTGTCCTTGGTGTGCCCTTTGACTGCTAAGATTCTTTGGTTTTGTTTTTAATAGAAATATAATGCCGATTATGAACTCTCAGGAAAGCAAGGGGCAGATACACTGGCTTACATTGCTCTCCTTGAGGAGAAGCTTCTCCCTGCTGTGGTGAGTACTCCTAAACACTACAGTATCTTAGTTACTTAGTCGAAAATGTAGTTTGTCTCTTTAAAAAGAAAGCAATGTAAGGATATTAAGAGAGGAAATTTTGACTTATGTATAAATCTTAATCTTTTATACTGCTGTGAAACTGTGTTCCATTAGACATTCAGCTAACATACATCAAATTGAAAGATAATGTCATTTAATTTTTTTTTTTTCCTGTGCTAGGGATTGAACTCAAGTGCCTTGCACATACTAGGCATTCTCTACCACTGAGCTATATCCCTAGCCCAATAATGCCATTTTGGAAATAAACATTATTCCTTTTTTTTGGTAATACTGGGGTTTGAACCCAGAGCCTCATGCTTGCTAGGCTGGCCATCTACCCACTTCAGCCACTCCACAAGCCCTTTGTTGTGTTGGGCATTTTCAAGATAGGATCTTGCGAGCTATTTGCCTAAGCAAGCTTCAAACTGCAATCCTCCTTATCTCTGCCTCCCAAATAACTAGGATTGCAGGTGTGAGCTTCTGGTACCTTACTAGAAATAAATATTAAACATTCTTTGTGAGAGATGAAACTTTTTGCTCCATGTATAGAATTGGTTTATCTGTCATTTATTCATTCATTCAACAAATAATTACTGAGCACCTACTATGTGCTAGGCCTTGTTCTGAGTGCTTGGGCTGTAGCAGTCAATAAAACTCATACATTTAAAATAATCGTGTTTTATCCCAAGTAATTCTATCTGGAAAATTTATATGAAGTCACTTTATACAAAGGCATTTATGAAAAATTATCACATGAATTTAGTGATCAGTAAAAGAATATCCTTGGAATTTTTTTTCTTTCCTTTGGCAGCTTCACACATTCTGGGTTGAGAGTGACAATTACTTTACTGTGACAAAGCCATGGTTTGCTTCACGAATTCCTTTTCCCTTGAGTTTAATCTTGCCTGGAAGGATGTCTAGGGGAGCACTGAACAGGATTCTCCTGACAAGAGGAGAGCCTCCTCTCTATCACATCCAAGAAGTAGAAGCACAGGTATGGTCTTGGTTATTTTCCAAGCCAGGGCTCTTTAGGAAAGGGATAGAGAGAGAGAACAGATGGATTTACCTAGAGATGCTGTCTCAAAAGTAGCTTCTGATTATCTTTCCTACTTTGAGATGTAATTTCATTTTTATTAGATATACAGAGATGCCAAGGAGTGCCTAAATCTTCTGTCAAACAGATTGGGAACATCTCAGTTTTTCTTTGGAGATACGTGAGTAAATGCTCTTAAAAATCATGTTGATATTTTGTTTACATATATTCAGTAAAAAGTTATTTGAAGCATGTTTCCTATCCCCTAAAAAGTGTTTTTCACTTAAGGGATTTGATGGGTTTTTATTATAGGAAACTTTCTGTGGTGGTAATTTAACATTGGCTTAATATGATGCATATATGAATGTAAAACATCAAAGATTGCTCCTGCCCTGCCTCCAGTCTGTTTAATATTTGTGAGTAAAAGTGAAATTTGTAATTTGCAACTTCATTATCTTCTAAATAAAATAAGTGGTTAGAGTATTTTTTAAATTACCTGAAGGGTAAAACCCTTGTTGTATGATTTTTATAACCTAAAATGGGTAATAAACCTCTTAAAATGTTGTATTGTCTACCTCAGACTTACATATTTGCAAAAAGGCTTATATATTTGAAAATAGGTTTGAAAAAAGGTTTATATTTTTAAAAAGGCTTTTTAAACATAATCTCAAGTTAATATTTTCTTATTTGCTTTAAAAATTTCTTAATTTATTTCTAGGCCTTCTACCTTGGATGCCTATGTGTTTGGTTTTCTTGCACCTCTTTATAAAGTACGGTTTCCTAAAGTTCTGTTACAAGAACATCTGAAACAGCTTTCCAACCTGTGTCGCTTTTGTGATGAAATTCTACACAGTTACTTTAGGCTTAGTCTTGGAGGTAAGCTGGCTTTTCTTCAGCTGATATTTATTTGTAGAGAGCATTTTCTTATTCTCCTGGGGATGCATAAGCAAAACTCACTACATATCTTAGTTTAAAAAAATGTTTGTGCATTGTCTTGTTTTTCAGTGCTGGGAATCGAATCCAGGGCCTTGTACCAGCTAGGCAAGTGCTCTACCACTGAGCTACATTCCTAGCCCCTGTTTTTTTTTTTAAGGGTCTTACTATATAGCCCAGGCTAGCCTCAAACTTAACTATGGATCCCAAGCTGACCTTGAATTCATTATCTTCCTGCCTTCTGAATACTGGAATTACAGGCGAGCACAACCGTGCCTGGCTTGTGCATTGTCTTTAAATTCTGGTTTGTAGCATTTCAGGAAGTTGTATTTTTCCAACTTTATTTTTTTTTCCCTGATGTGTTCTTATTTAAATAGAAAAATAGACATTTGCCTTTTACTTATTCCTCTGGATTTTGTACATTTCTTGCCTCTTCTTTTTAAATATTACCTCTCCAACATGGGTCATTTTCTTCTAAAAGATTAAAATTCAGATAATGAGTCCCTGCTAAAAAATAGTATTTGTCCTAATGCAAATGGCCAATTACTTTAAATGATTTGTACCTGCTGCTTCTAGCATTTTCCTGCGTGAACAGAAATCAGTAGCAGATTGATTTTGGTGAGGTACACTCCCATGATTCCACTACTTGAAAACTGATTGCATCAGACTGGAGGTATATAGTAAGTAGAGGGTACCTGTCACTTAGGATATCATTCTTTTGAGTGTGGGGCATTGTGCTTAAGTGATTGGGATATTAAATTTGTATTGGGCAAGTTAGCTGAAATCATTTGTTTAAGAAACAAAAGTCTTAAAGACAGCTGGCTTAGGTGGACAGCTTTTTTTTTTTTTATGGTGGGTTGTTTGTTTTGTATTAGGGAAGGATTGGGAGTCATGAAGCTAAGTAACATTCAACTTTGTAAATTTGAAGCAGTGGTTAACAAACCCAGCTGTACAGCAAATAAAAAATTTGGGTCTTATTATAGGCTTACAAAATTAGAATCTCTTAGGGATAGATCCCAGAAATCTATTCTTTTAAAAAATCCCTTTGTATTGTGGGCGCTTGGTGGGTAGCTGTTTAGGAGTTACTGCCTTACCACACTGTTCAAATATTTGTGACCAAAGACCAATTTGAGATAAATAAGGGAAAGGTACAACTTAAATTTCAGCAGGAAAAAAAGGACTGTTGTGCTTTTATTAATTGTTGTGGCTAGCTGCATGCATTGGCTTGTGGTATCTTCTCAGTGAACACATTTTAAGCCTTTTGTTTAGGGTTTGATTTTGGACATTAGTATCCCTAACTTTGTCTTTAACCCAGAATGGTTTTTCACTTTGTCAATTTTTTTTTTCCTTGTTGGAGGATATAGCAGTTGGGAGGGTGGGTAGACTCAAAATTCTTTTAATCTAAACAGCTTTTAAGGCTTTCAGAATTTTCTTGTCTTTCTCTGATTTCTGTCCTGGCTTCTTAGGCATCTCTCCAGCTGGACAAGAAACAGTAGATGCAAATCTGCAGAAACTCACTCAACTTGTAAATAAGGAATCCAACTTGATTGAAAAGGTCAAGTTTATTTCAATCATTGTTTTACAGTAGTTTAATATTTTCCTTTCTGTAGCCAATGTTGTAATTTGGGTTATGCATTAACTTTACCCTCTTTACTTTTTTAAGAGTTTACTTTACATAAAGCTGTTTAAATATATTTTTACTAAAGTTGTATATAATTTAGTGTTTTGAAATCAGTAGTGGCCTGATTGCTGGGGTTGGGGGGATTGGATAATGGTATTGGGTTTATTTTTACCACACAATCTGTATCTGTCAAGCTAGGAAGCCCTAAAAATTGGCTTTTAAAAAACAAAGCAAAAACTTTTCTTGATTGCTTATCTTCTACTCTCTGTCCTAAGGTTACCACTTTTTCTTGACATTTTAAGCACTGGTGCTTTTCCTTGTTTAATAATAGCACCATAATGTCTTTTTTCTTCCACATGACCTGTTTTAGTTTTTCTCCTTTGTGTCCTTCTCTGTTCTAAGTGTAGTCTATACTTTTTCCCTAGTTTAGATATTTTTCCACTTTGGTAGTCATTCTGAGAGCGTAGGAAGGAGAGCCAATTTCAAGGAGAATTCTAATTGGAAAAGCATGAGAGTGCTGCACATTTTTTCTTCAAGCGTCTGATAGATTTACTTATGTCTTATACAGGTGAACAATATTTCATTCTTTCATAGGCACTGAGGTATATGAGGTTATCTCACTTAAACCTCACAACAGCTCTGTGTGCAGGCACTAATACTGTTCCCATTTTATAGATGAGGATGCTGAAGCTTTGAGAGTAGCTGATGGCACTTGCCCAAAGTCTTTCAGCAGGTAAAAAAGTAGAGCGCAGATTTGAACCCTAGATGTGGGACTCCAGCATGAGCTTTGCAGTTACTCTCTCCTGTACTCAGCTATCTTGCTCATGAGTGAGACTGCATGTACGTTCCTAGGAATACTAGTAGGTTTATCACTCATTTTCTGGGATGACCTTGTGTTTCTTTTTGTAGTATTTTATGTGGTGTTATGATTTGAAAAGTGAGTAAAACTTGGTAGTAAAGTTCTTAAGAGTTTATTATTATTAAAGTTTTGATAAGCTGAGTTAAAATGTGGTCTGGCTCATCTTTGCTTAATCCAGTAAATTTCATGAGAGGAATATATAGAAGTGTTAAGCATAGATGAAGGAAAGATTTCTCATCTACTAGGCAAAGACTATCCAATATAGTTTCCATTTTCTGAGTGTGGGAAATTTGTGACAAATATGAGAGGAAACTCTGAGATACCCACATGTCCAGAAGGTAAAACCAGAAGGCCCTGTCACCACTTGTACACATCCATCTTGGGTCATCATCAGTGTATGAGTTTTCTAACCCATACAGTTGGGTTCCCCCCGCATTCATATCTGCTCTTCTGTAAGAGAGTAGAAGATGCTGTGATTGCTATAAGATGATAGGACAACAAATCTTTTTAGCCACCACTGTTCACAATTTGTACAGAAAATCTATGGCTTAAAAAAGAATCATATTTAAGGAACTTAGTTCTTACAAGAAAAGAAAAACCTCAACACAATTGATGGAAATAGTTCACTGATAATACTTTTTCTATTAGTAAATTAAGTTTGTCTTTCTTCTTCCACAAACTCTGTTTATGTTTCATCTGAAATGATTCATCAGTGAAATGTTTCATCTGTGCCTTATAGACCATCTTGAGAAGATGGGAGTGTATGTGTCGGGGGTGGGGGTGGAGGGGCAGGAACGAATGCTCTGTACTTACGCAAAACTGAAAGAAAGCCTGCCTTTCAAATGGATGGTAGTATACTGTTTTCTGTTAGTTTTGGAGCTTAGATGGTGGCTGCTTTCACGTCTTTCATGAAGTTAAGCTGACAGTGAATTCAACACCAGGAATGAATCTTACACTTTCTGGGATACTGTGGTTAAAAGTAGTTTACTGAAGTCTGATTGAGTGCTAAGCAATCCCTGGCCTAGTGTTTCAGGAGTGCTTCACTTTAGGGTAAGCCTGAAGTTCCTGGACATTTTTCTTAATATGCTTCATATTAAGTTGTTTCTCTTTAAGGCAGGCTTAGAACTGATCCAATGTCTGGAAGACCTGTATTAGATCTAAAGAATTTAGATCTGCCTCTTTTCCTAACTTCATTTGGTCTACATACTCTTTGTTTGAAACAAAACAAAACAAAAACTGGTCTTTTGAGTGTAATACCAGTCACTTTTATTGAGGCAAAGAGGTATAGTTGAAAGAACAATCTTGTAAAAAGACCTGGGTTCAAGTTTCAGCTCTGATAACTAGCTTTATGATGAGCAGCAAATCACTTAACCTTTCTGAGCCTCATTTTGTTCATCTGTATAATAGAGAAAGGCTATATTTGTCTTTTTTCTTCATAGTGTGTTATGAAGGTCATATAAGGTATGTGAGCATACTTTATGAACCGTGGAGCTTGGTATAATAGAATTATTATTTTTACCTTTTAGAAAGATTTCTTAAACTAAGTCATGCTGTGATGTAGTGTAGTAGAATATTCATTTTGTGGAATTACTGTAATTTTGTAAAGGTATCAAGAATGAGCCACATTGCTTTTTACAGATACTGAGTCAGCTGGTACTTGCAATATGACATTTACAATTCTTGAGAGATTTGTAAGAAAAAGGTTTCTTAGCAGTCCTGGGGACATGTGGTTCTATGCTGTAGTTTGGATGGGGAGGCTATAGTCCACATAAGTGGTGTCGCAGCCTTAGTCAGATGTATCTTTTGTACTTTCTACAGATGGATGACAATCTTCGCCAAAGCCCTCAGCTTCCTCCTCGGAAACTGCCAACACTCAAATTGACTCCAGCAGAAGAAGACAGTACTTCCTTACACCGGCTATCACCCTGACAGTCAATGTATTTTGTAGCCAAAGTCTTATGATTGTCACGGTAATCTCATGCTGAGGGTGTGAAGACAAAAAGAAAATACCACTTCTAGGTATAAGAAACACTCTAAAACAAAAGGAACTTTCTATGACATTTGTTTTTGTTTTGTTTAGCTTTGAACTAGGAAGCTTGTATTCTAGCTTGGCGATGCATTTTAAATAAAGGTGAATGCTAATGAATGTGGGGGAGGGGGGAGAAAACACATTGTACTGTATACATATATAAAAAAAAAATCCTGCCTTAATCTTGGCAGATTTTTGCCTTTGGTTCACATGTTATAGACCAAAAGCTACAATTTTGTTCTGAATGTGCATTCTTAACTTATGCAAGTTGATTTATTTAGTTTATTAACTTAGTTTTCTTATACCTGTCTGAATACATAATGTGTGGCTTTTTGGCTGAGACATTTTCTATTTAGAAATCTGATGCCTATTTTAGGAACTAGGAAAAATAAATTATTTCAATAGAAAAGCTTGTATTTAACTTTAAAAGCAACGAGGAATGTGCTTTTTAATTACGCTTTCATAAGTCTGTAATCTTTTGGGGGTTAGTACCACATATCTAATTGTTAAAGGTGGTTACATAGAATACCCTTCTAATGATTTCCACTCAGATAACATTAGTATTGCTGATGTATTCAGTATAGATTAGCAAGGGGGTTTTAGCTTGCTGGGCGAATGTGGCAGCTTGAGACCTATGTATTTGTAGTACATCTTTAACTAACTGTCTCATTCTTGTATTCATACCAGAACTGAATGTGGTATCATTGTTATGTTAGGCTGCACAACCTTATTGAAACTTGCCCAATTATGAGATGCTACTCAGGAGGAGCCCATGGCCAGGGTAATAGAGATACCTACTGTGCATCTGGTCTGAGTTTTCCATGCTTGACTAGGACCAGTATTCTTTCATAAGAAGCATATCATGTAGTCACAGCTTTCTGATGACCAGTTATTTTCTGTGTATTTTTACCACAGTTGAAGGATCCAAAGGAATAAATCAGAAATAGCAGATATTTATGAGTATTTTCTATTTATTGGCTGCTGAATTGTTCAAGGATTTGCTGTGTGGTAATTTTACTTATAATAGAAACTTGCTTATTTTAGTGGTTGAGGTGCTTCTGTTGTCCTAAAACCACTTCTGGGATTTTTAGAATACAGGACTATGTTTTTGATCAGTGTCTTAAAAGATTATTATGGTGCTCAGCAAATCTTACCGAGTCCTGCAGAAACCTATCTGTTAAGAAAACAAGCTTTGTTGTCAAGAGACTCAGCTAATTTGAGCTGGTGGAGCTCAGCTGTGTTTCGCTCTCATCCTCCCAATTTGTTCTGTATTTAGGTAGCTATTTACATGAGAGTCTTTAAGTCATCATAAATAGTTTTGAAAGTCTTAACTAAATGAGAAACAAGGTAGTCTTCACAACCCTGTTCTTCTCTTTGGATGCATTTAGGGAAAGTACCTAATGAGTTTTATATTTCTTCAACAGGAGGTTGTGTGTGTATGTGTTTTGCCTCATCTTTCAGGCAGTTTATTATTTCAGCATTCTGAAACCTGTATGAATATTTTAAATTGAAAATCATGACCGTGAAGCTTTATTGTCCTCTAGGATTGATGTATATGGGAGAAGGATGGTTAGCACATTAATCAGACATCTGTTTATACTTTAGTCAGGGTTAGTCATTTTCAATTATGATTTATATTAAGCCTTCCAAAAAGCATTTGAAGTGGCTTACAATTGCAAAACACATGTAAAACAGGACAATTAGAATTAGTTTTTGAAAAAATAAAAAATTTATAGGAGAAAGAACTATGTCAACACTAACTGATTGTAAAATTGAATGGTAAATCTAATTTCCAGTTTCTCCATGGGTGAAGTCAAAAGATGTTACTGGGTTAGATAAGTTCCTTTTTTTCAGTAAAACTACTAATATATGTGAGGAACAAAAGTGCATTTAACTATGTAAAAGAATATGAGCGGTCATTATACAGTATATCAGTATACAGACTTCAAGTAAAAAGTGTTCTGTATTGTTTCATGCATTGACATTTGAATTAAAAGAGACCATTTGTCCTTTTTAGTAGAGAGGATGACTATAAAGGTGATTTGTTTGCCTTTTGGTTATCCCTGCTTTGAACTACCATTAGCTTTACATTCTGTAGTCGTATTGCTTTCCTGTGGTGAAATGTGATTTAGGTGAGTGGGAATTTGTGTTAGGTCACTTACCTCAAGTGGCTTTGCATAATCAAATGAGATAATAAGAAAGCTGTAGCTGAGCACGGAATCAGGACCGACCACACGCAGGGGAAGCCCTCAGACAGAAGGCCATGGTCACTGTCAGGATGTTTTTTGGATAAAGTTTTGAATTTGCCAAGAAAAATGGCACACAGCCTTAAACAAAATACTATGAACCATTGTCTTTTAGATGTGATGATGGAGGATAATATGAAAAAAGGAAATATGCTTGTGTTTATTTTTGCTAGTAATACAGGATTAGAAATAAGGGTTCAATAATTCCTGTAAGATGACAATCCTCCATCAACACACTGTTGTTAATCATCTGTAAAACTCTTTAAACAACACTAAAGAAACTGTAATGAACATAGAAGACATTCATTCCTTCACAACTGTTTTTGACCTCATAAAAAGGTTGGCAATAATAAGTGCATCAAATTTCCATTTAGGTGTGCTTGAATTATTTTGGAGGAACTAAAAGATTCAAGATTTTACAGAAGCGAGCATGTTTAGTTCCATTTGTAATTTCTACCCTTTATCATGAAGGAACAGGGAGGCTCATTTCAGTCAGAACCATTAACAGTTTTAGAAGTCTGTAAAAATGGGGAAAACTAACATCGAAAAGGTAGACACTGATAATAAGGGTATATTAGAAAACCAATTTGTTCAGGTAGCTTCATGTGATATTTGAATGTGATACTGTGTTTCTTTAGAGGCTTCTCCAAAAATACTCATTTACTGGGCCTACTAGATTTGGCGGGCAATTTTTCCATAAACTGTCAAGAAACTTAACCCTTACAAAACCAATATATAAATGCTTAAATATAGACAGGACTAGGATAGCTCTCTTCTATTTTTTGTTATGTCTTTTGAGTCTATAATTGTTTATAAATAAACAGGTTTTTCAAAAAGCAAATTCAATAGAATAAACCTATTATCCACATAGCTATAACTTGAAATGTTAGTTTCAGATGAATACATACATAATATAATTTAAATATAATTTTTATTTTATACTCTAATTTAAAGAAAAAAGCAACTCAGGTTTGTAACAAGAACTTACCTTATCATCTACCTAGCCTTACCAAAAAAGAAAGATTAACAATCTAAAACCAGAAGCTCCTTTTCCCCCAGGATATCAAAAAGTCTATGACTTTGTTTCTAATTATATGTATTTTTTCCTAGGTTCACTGTCATGTTTGAGGATAAAATACTTTGAAAAAGTTCTGTCTCTCAGTAGTTCTTATTTGCTTTGTATTTCTCCAGATGCACAGTGTGACAAGATGTTCACTAAGACGCCACTCTAATGAAGAAAGTATGAAATGTCTGTGTGCTTTTTGTTTTAAGCTCAAAGAGAGTTAACTTATTATTTTTTTTTTTTATAATTAAACTCCTAAGCAGAGCAGTAGAGATAACTTGGGTTGTGATGATGATCTTTTATATATGTTCTTGGTGGTGAGAGTTTTTGATTGTTTACCTTTTTGCCATTGTTCAGTGGTATGGAATTTATACTTATTAATGTTTTCCTATTTCATGTTTAATATTTCATATTAGGAATTTATTACATGAAATCAAAGATCAGTAGGTCACTGGTCCTCTTATCTTCAAAGATATAGTTGAAGCTTCATTAGATTTTCAAAATGCCGATTTTCACAGCGATATAAGGATAGAGGTTTTTTATTTTCGTTTTTGGGGTTTGCAAAATAATTTGGAAATCGTTGTTGGGTTGTTGTGATTACTAGCAGCCCAGGTTACCTGTGTTAGTCGTAAGATTATTGTGATTGAGGTAGAGAAGTACTGTGGAATTTAAAAAGGATACAGAAATTATTTTTTTCCAGAAAAGTATGCCTTGGATTGCTGATGAGAATTAATATTCTTGTACAATGTTATAATAAAAAGGTAACTTTGAGTTGAATGTTTTTGAGTAGAGGAATATGGTAATAGATTATTCAGAGCAAAATAGTTTCTTTCTTAAACTACAAAACACAGGAAGTCAATTCTTTTTGTGTCCTCTATATTATTAATTTGAAATTATACTATAATATTTTTTGAAAAAAATAATTTTAGACTATTGAAGTAGTTTCTAAAGGGGCAGATTATATACTTGTTATGTGAATAGAAAGTTCTGTGACCCAATCAGTTTAGAAAATGCTGGATTAGGCAGAGTTGAGTTAACTATAGGCTTTTCAGAACCTTTGATGTGCTAATGTGCATTTTCAATCTACAAGCCTTGGAAATTTCCAAGTTTTATTTTATTACTGAAGACATAGGTTAAACAAGCATTTAATGTATGTAGGTGCATGTATGCATTTCCTAGGAGGGGGTTCATTGTTTCCATTAAGCACCTGTATTTTATACTCCCATTTCCCTAGTTTATTTTAATGTGGATTTTTAAAAGTAGGTATTTTGTGGGATTTGTGTTCTGAGAAATATACCTAGGAAAATGTTGTCCTAGAGTATTTTTGTTTGTGCTGATTGCAGAGGTTTCTTACTGTTGGGTGTGCCTGTAGCGATGGTAACAAAATGAGAAGAGACTGGATCAGTACTTCCTGAACTATGGGCTTGAGTCAGAGATGGGTGGCTGCATTTTATATAGGTTGTTATTAGGTACACATGATGCCTGGTCAGTTGAAACCTTTCCCCTAGAACTCCAGTTAGCCTGGAACAGCTGTACAGGGGTCTGAACTGGTGGTTTCAGAGGCTATTCTTAAGCATCCATGAAATAGAGGGAGCCAACTTGTAATTCCTGAACGATTTTCCAGACCTTTTTGTCTGTGCTCAAAAGTATCAATATGTATGTTGTCTCAATAACATGGCAAAAGAAATTTAATAGTTTCAAGTTTTATTCTATTATTGAAGACATAATCTAAACAAAGATTGTATGAACACATTTTCTAGGAAGTAGGTTCATAATTATTTAATTATCAGATTGTATAACCTAAAAAACATTGTAAACTTTACAAGAGTTCCAAATTTGAGTTAACTAAATGTTTTATTCTACTTAGTTAAAACTAGATCACTAATGAAGCAGAAGGGTGTCTTTTGTTCTTTTTTTTGCAATGTATATAATTATATGTCTGAAACTCCATTGTGTTTGAAAGAAAGCTTGCCTTAGGGTTTGGGTTGTGATGTAATGGTGAACATCTAGCCACATGAAAAGCAGTTGAATCTTTGTTCTGATTCTAGAGCTTTTCTCCTGCAAATTTAGAGAAATGCCTTTTAATCAGTGTGTTTACATATCCCAGATCCTTGGAAATCACAAAAAATGACCTGCCAGAGTTTGCATCAGTTCTCAGTGAGTCATGCACTGTAGAGAAGGTTTTGCTGGCCATTCGTTCTTTGGACCATGGACTGCTCCTCTTGCATTGCTGGCTTCTGTCTTTTGGAGGAGGGTGAACTCAAACTTTTAAGTATGTAAAGATGAGTTTATTTCTCTTATGACTTGATTTTTTAATTTTTTAAAATAGGAAATCATGTCTTTCCATTCTTCTATTATCTTTAAGTGGGAATATGAGGTGATTGTAGCATAACTTTAGTTTTCTGGAAGATTGACAGTAAAGAAGACAAGAAAAACATGTGCACATTGGTTTTTTGACTCACCAAGCCTATGTTTAAATGGTAAACATTTTAAACATTTGTTTTAGTGTGCAAATTCTATAGTTTCATTATAAAGTAAACAATCTTGAAGTAAGCAATGTTGGCCATAATTTCAATTTCTAGCTTTGCCTAGTGTGAATATATTTTACTCAGAGACTGTGTATAAATACCCAGAAGTGGTAATGATGATCAATGTTGTAAAGAGTTTATTCTGATAAATGAAAAACTGGTTGTAATGTTAAAATATCTATTTTCTCAATAAAATCTCAAATTGCCTGAATATTTATTAATTCTTGATCAAATGCTATTTATTTCTTCAGGTATCTTCACTTGGAAGAATTTTTTAGTGGTTGAAAATAGTTACTGAGTGCTGGGACTGAGCTAGACGGAAAGAGGTCCTTTTTATGTCCATTCTTTTGAGGGTGCATTGAGAATACTTGTGGTCTTTGCACTCCATGTTAACAAAGTTAAAAGTTTACTCTCTAGGTCACTGACTTGTTTGTGACTTCAGTGCTCACAGCTTTTTAGGGCTGTTATTATCACCCCTTCAACTCTATGTGGTTCTTTAAATTTTCCCTTTTGTCACTCAGACAGTATAGTGATGTTCAATTTAATTGAAAGGAAGACACACTGAGAAAAAAATAATAGAAAGGAAGATATTCTTGTTTTTGCTGCTTTGTGTAGGGATAGAATATGAGGATATTGAGATTCCTTTTATAACTGTGAAGTAAGGGTATGTTCCTGGAGAGATAATGTCTTTGCTAGTGGACTTTATTATTTTTTCATTTGAGGTGTAATTTATATATAGTTAAATGCATATATCTTTCAAGTGAAGGTGAAAGTATATCATTTACATCAGAAGCTGGCTACATCTTTCTTGATTCTTCTATCCTCAAAGAATACTAATCTTAGTTACAGATGAGCTTTGGGTTTCAGGTAACAGGTCCTTGGTTAAAAATGACTGTCTGCTTTCTGCAAAGAAACACGAAAGAAGAACTGCTGTTGTGGAATAATGGAATTCTTTTGAGGAAAGGCAGCTGTTTGGAAGACATAAGCTGAGAACCATTCAAGAAAGAACTTCAGAAATTTTGGTTCTTAATTGATCACTTCAGAGATGTGACCTTGTCTGGAACTCTTTGTCTGGGGGGTGCTCAGAAACTCCTGAATATCTATTTTAGTGTGGCATTCTGGGTTAAATGTTTTTCCTTTACAATAAATAGCAGCTATGGAAACTGAAGTTTTCATATATTGGTGTCTTAAAGTGAATTTTTATAGGAGAAACTTCACTTAAGTGTTGCACCTGGGTTTGAGACAAATCAAATGTATAGAAGAATTAAGACGGAAATAGTGGTGAAGAAAGAGTTGTCTTACTCAAGGTCATTTTTGTAGAACAAGGAGAACTAGGCTCTTCTTGATCTAACGAGAACGTCATGAAAAAGCATGGTCCATTTCTCCAGGTACATGAGTCAGCTTCCTGGAATGCTCTAGACGTCTGTTATTAGGAAATGAAGACAGCTGTGCATCATCAAAGACATTTCTAATTTGTAACTCAGCCAACTCAAGGCTCCAAAAATTGTGCTTCCAAGAGGAAGAGAAGCTATTATATTATATATCCTTTTTTGAGCAAAAGAGTGGGAAGAGCTGGGAATCTTTAACATTTGTAAATACAAAGAATTAGTTTCTTTGGGTCCTAGGTTGGGAAGGATGATCCTCAAGAGTTCACATTTTGACAAGAAATCTCTCAGTATAGAAGAAAGCATGATACTTCCAAACATTACAATTAAGACCAAACAGATTTCAGGTTTGCTTGTTTATTTATTTATTTTGGTAGTACTGGGGCTTGAACTCAGGGTCTCACACTTGCTAGGCAGGTGCTCTACCACTTGAGCTATTCCACTAGCCCTTCAGTTTTACTTTAAGTGCAGAAAGCAAACTGACATTTGAAGACTGTTAAAATTATTCCCAGTTTGATATGTTGTCTCAGTTTTCTCCATAAGAGGGGAAATTGCCTTTTTTAGTCTAATAAACATGATTTATATTTTGTGTAGTATACATCATATAACATCCAGTTCACAGGGTGACTAGTGCTAAAAGAGTAGAAAAAGGTGGAGGGTGTTGGTAAGCATTGCAGATGTGAAAATTAAGAGGAAAAAGAATAAAAACAGGAATAGCTAAGGATTATATACAAATGCATACACATAACACTAGTTAAGAAAATGTGCAGAAAATTTAGTCACAGAA